GCTGTAGTCCAGGTCTCTGCTGCTGCTGCCCCCGTTGTCCCACACGCGGTTTTCCTTGCCACGCGGTTTCGGCGGCCGGGGGGACTTGCTGCTGCTGGGGGAGAGAGCGGACCAGCCCTGAGACACGAGCTGTCTCGCCCCCACCTCCCCGAAACACATTCCTGCTGGCGGCTCAATGCAAACGTGAGCCGAAGTGTCTCAGCGAGACTTGCATGAAGCAAAGTGACTTGGTCGTAGAGTTCTAGGAGAAACCTGGATAACCGTCTCAGATCAGAGGAGGGGAGTCCCCCTTACTTGGAAAGCGTTTCGAGAGGAGTGCCCAGAAAAGCGCTATACCAGTATATGGAATTATTATTAGTCATCGCCCCATCTCTGCCTAGGAACTCAAATCAGAACGTGATTTTATTTTAAAGAACACATTTTACTGCTGTAAATGACGCTGACGAATGTCACCGGCCAGTCCTATGCCATCTGCCAACACCCCCCCACCCCCTCCCCCGCCGGCCCCTCACCTCTGCTTGTCGGGGGCCGTGGCCTTTCCACGCTTGCGGAAGAACTCCTCGCGGTTCCTCTGGATGATCTCCTCCGAGCTCAGGCCCTGGCTCCCGTTCTCCGCGACCTTGAGGGAGCTCTTGGGGGCACTCTTGGGGGCCCCCCCCCTGGGCGAGTCGCCCGCCGTCTCCGCCGCGGGAGCAGGAGCTGGGGAGACGGTTATCAGGGAGTTAGAAAGTGCTTTATACTTGGCATGGCGCATTGCGCTTTGAGCATTCTGAATGGCTGGACTGGCATGTGCAGTAAGTGCACCAGCATGGTCCCATGAACACAGAATGCACTGAATGTATTAGTGGCTAATTGTATTCTAATTAGTAAAGTGCTGTTTGCTCGAGATCGAGAGCATTGTAGCTATGCATCAGTCAACAGTGATTCTTTCTGATTGGTGAGATTCCTTTAAAAGACCCTTTTTTTCTAATATTTTGGATTCATAAAAATATGAACTGGGGAAAATTAAAAAAAAACTGGTGTCTCTCCCCCTGCCAACGCGGGGCTGCAGAGCTCATGCCTTCCTCTTGCATTCCAGAGCTCCGCTGTCAGAAGGCTCCTGATCTCCCCCCCCCCCGTAGGACATTTTAAAAAGCAGGAAACTAAGAATCCAGCAGCAGCAGGAAGCACAAAGTGAACCGTCACAACTGCCCTCCAGAAATGATCTGAAACCAAGAATGTCGCCTGAGACCAAAGCAGCACAAAGCCTTTTCTCTGGGCGTCCTACTGTGATAGGACCAAGATGCCCAGAATGAAAACTGCCATCGAATCCCGACGCCCACCCCTGCCGAGCCTCCGCAAGCAGAGAGCCTCACCTTCCTTTTTGGCCGTTTTGTTCTTCTTGCTGCTCTCCTTTCCTTTGTCCCCTCCCTTTGTCTCGATCATGGACTTCACCGTCTTCTGGGATTTCTGGGACTCCTGGAAGGTCTTCATGGCGACAGGGGCGCGGGCCTTGCTGCTGTCCTCCGCCTGCCTGCGAGAGAGAGAGAGATCATGGCGTCGGGGCAGGGTCGGGAAAAGCCGGAGAGGAGGGGCAGCGCCTGGGTTTGGCCCAGGCTGGCACAACAAAATCAAAACTGCGCTCTGAAAGGTTACAGAAAGCATATCGGTGTATCTTTTACTGGAACGGAAGGATCACAGAAAAGAGTAGGGGTGTTACCCCGGCGTCCTGGCCAGATTTCCCCTTCGCCTTTCCCAGTCATGACCTCCCAATAACCCCCATCTCTGAACTGGCTTCATCACTCACTCACTGATAGCTGGTGTGTGGTGAGAGTACAGGCATACTTTGGCTGCCGTCTCATCATCCAAGTACAGCTACACACCGATTGGGGTAGAGGGGAGTCCCCATTACCTGTAAAGCGCTTTTGAGTGGATTGTGCAGGAAAGGGCTACACAAGTATATGAAATTATTATGAATTATCATCCCATCTCTGCCTAGGAACTCAAATCAGAACGCGATTTTGTTTTTCCAAAATTCTTAACACACTATACGGCTGGATGCGGGACATCTGAACGCTATAAATGACTCTGACGAGTGATCCTGTCAATGGGCGTACCGAAGAAGCTGCAGGAAGTCACTCCCGAACTCAAAAGTGTAGCTGAGCAGCATTAGGGCTCCTCTGTGCTCCAGCTCGTTCTTGTAGCGGTCCCGGAACAGCAGCTGCACGTCGTCTATGAGCTTGTCCACATACGTCAGCGTCAGGATCTTCTGGAACCCAACCTGCACCGCACAACCAAACAGCGCGTACTGATTCGGAGCCCGGGAGCTCCGAACGCACGAGTCACAGCGAGCAAACGAAAGGAGGGAAACTGCTACCGAAACTCATTCTGGCCCCCTGTCAATCGCATCTACTGACAGAAAGATCTTGGGAAATGGAGGACACCCCCCAGGGGGATTCATGCTTCGAATTCACAGAGTGCAGGTGTGTCGCACTACGTTTCTCTTTCAGATTAGTTACCACCAGCGTCCTGCAGGGTGGTCACCCGGAGTTTGAGAGCCGATCACAAGAAAGGGGCAACAGATGAACAAGGACTACGAACAATCAGAGAAAAAAAGATGTCCACAGCGTCATGCTGCGTCAAGGAGAAAAATGACTTTGAGGTAATAAGATCTCCATTGATTTTGCGATTCACTGCCGGGGGTGGTGGGTGGCAGGTGCTGACTTTAGGTCTATGTACTGAATTGATCTGTTTTGGTTTTCTTTAAAAAAAATACAAGTCTACGCCAGTCTGTCAGCCAAGACATTCCAAAATAACCGTCTAAATATTAAAGACATTGTTTCCCTGTCAGTGAAGACCAGAAAAGCATCAAAGGGGGAGATTTTTAAACCGATTTAAAACCTTTCCCTCAGAATTAAAATGAACCACTTGTACAACACTAAATTACTTACAACGAACACCAGCTCAAACTCATTGTCCAGTTTGTACTTGAGGCTTAAGGAATCGTAGGTGAAGGAATTGTTCCCACTGCGCTCCTAGAAAAAAAAAAAGCTGCATCAGTACTAGAAGGTTTTATTATAGACCACTCTCGACAACCAATTCTCCCCAACAGCACAGTCTGGCGCTCAGATTGCTTCACAACACTATGGGGCACAAAGCATACTTCAAAGGAACAAGTAAAGGTTTATTCCAGGCTGAAAAGAGAAGAAAAGAAACACAATGTTTCGGCTGTGGAGCCTTCCTGAAGAAACATCGTGTCTCCTTTCTTTCTAGCACGGAATAAACCTTTACTCGTCTCTTTGCAGCCTCCGCATGCCGACACGGCTCGCTACCTGCACAAAGCACGCTTCTACAGCAACGCCAAGCTAAACACAAAAAGAACACACAACACACAGCAGACCCACCAAACACCTCATCAGAACAGGAGATCACAATAAACTTTTCAAATGAGAGGATCTTGCTGGGGTTCACTAGTGCCACCCATTTGTAAAGAATCGAAGCTTTTACTTGAAAACAGCCAAGGTCAGCTTCGACATCGCCGCTTGCACCACACTCCTACAACTCTTTGTGTAAAAGGCCACGGCTATAAGCACTGCTTACGACAGGCGCTTGCAGGCTTACTACGATTACAGCTCATTTTCTTCCCGATCTTTGTGACACGAACACACTGGAAAATAATTAAGGGATCTTAAGACCCTGCTCAGGCAAGGCGTTAAGAAGAGACGACAATTACCAATTAAAGAAGACCTCGCCCATCTACCATAATCAGCAAAAGGAATAAACTAATGATAATGAGTTGTTGTTGTTTTGTTTGCATAAATCAAAGCGCGTTCAGACATGCAACTCCATAAAGCTGTCACTTGGAAAAGCCATAAGGAACGGAAAACATAAAAACAGGACTCGATTGCGAAAAAGCACAACTTGCTTTTTAAAGGACCAGGAAAAGGGTGCGCATTTGTTGTTTGCAATCAATGTTATCTGGGGCTCGTTAAACGATCCCAGCTCGCTGCAGCCAAGCGAACCTCGCCGCCGGCCGGCTCCCCCGGCGCTGACAGCTGTCACGCTGGGTCCGTCTCTCCGCGTCGCCGTTACCTGCAGAATGACGGAGCGGATGAGCGCATTGACAGGCCCCGTGAAGGACCCGCTGGCGCCGGCCCCCTGGAAGCACCACAGCACGATGCCTCCTTTGCTGAAGATGGTGAAAAAATCCAACATCTTGCCACACAGCGGAGTCGAGTTCAGCAATAACACCACAGGGAAGGGAAAACAAAGATCGGAACGGCACAACAGAACAATAAATAATAGATACGTGCTCAGACTGGCCGAAAACACCGTGCCCCGCGGAAAGCGGGTGACCTGATCAGATTAAATTTTGTTTTAAGAAAGTAAAAAAAAAAAAAAAAGAGCGAGGGACTTTTCCCCCTGCCTTATGCAACTCGGCTACAGACACGTCACGTCAGTTGCACGCAGGGAAATGACGTTTTGTTTCCGGTGAAGCCCGTACCCACCGGACTTACACACCCTCTTGTCATGTGATCAGGGACTTCGGTTTTACGCTATTAAGACGCGACCAACAGCAACCTTGTAACGTGATCCGGGAATGAACCTTAAGAGTCTGGCCTGTTGGCTTCTAACATCTTAAATCACGTGTTTCTGGCTCCGCCGACCAACGGTACCAATGAGAGGGCTCCCCTCTGCTTCACTCGGGGCTGTTTAGCTAGAATACGATATCTAGTACAGCTGTACAAGTCATTTACTACTTATCCAGCCTGTGCGTGAGAAATGGCAACGTGGAGCGGTTGTTTGCGGGTCGCCAGAGCCAGGACTGGCACCGTCAGCCACGGCTGCAGGTTCGTTGAGCATGCCCTCCGGACACCTGTCAGCCCCAGGGGCTTCAGCACCGGCAAAACGACCCGACAGGACTTCTTTAAAGGTGACTTCTGTTCGTTTTTTCCCCCTAAGTACGCCATGCATTTGCTTCTAAGATAACAAGAAATCATCTTTGCTGGCAATACATTATTATTACTAAAAACACCAATACCTTTTCATGTTTTATGTGCTTACTGTTAGATTATTAACTGTAGTGTATGGTTACTAACAAATTTATCTTTGAGCTATGAGGGGCTAAAACCCAGCAGTGAAGAGAATCGCGGTCAAATATTTCATGCATAGTTCAGTTTTCACTGAAATAGCCGTGTGTCATAAAATGAGATTTCTGTTAGAATGAGATCATTCATTAGCAGTTGCCATTTTATTTAAAATACTGGGGCAAACATTTTATCCAAACTAGTGACAAGTTGCCCGCCAGGTGCATGTTTGCACTGGGACAGGTAAAGGTTTATTCTGTGCTGAAAGGAAAAGAAAAAGAGACACAGCATCGTCACACACCTGCTCCACAGCGGTGACTGTTGTCTCTCTTTTCCTTTCCATACAGAATAAGCTTTTCCCTGTCCCTTTTGCAGCCTACGCATGCTGACCCAGCTGTTTGAAGTCAGACCTTTAGTCCCCAGTTATATCAGACATGACGTCCCGAAAGCACTGGGACACGGTCTTGATTCTGCAGTCCCACTGCGTGTCCTGGGCTTTGTGGAGCGGTGCTTTTGCTTAATGTTTGACTCAACGAATTAATCAGTCATTTCCTTGGTGCTGATTAGCTCAGACTTGAACCTGGTTTCCAGGACGAAAGATGAAAGGTGATTCCCCCCCCCCCCCCCCCCTGGGTGGGCCTCCAGACTGTGATGGGGATGCACCCAACCCCACAGGGCTGATCCCCTCTTAGACAGCTGGGGGGACTGGAGCAACTGGTAGAGCGGCAGTGTCTGCAGCAGGTACTCGAACCTGCCCCCCCCCCCAGTAAACACCGCAGCTCAGTAATGTCACCGTCACTGAGCACAGCCCTGTCCTGTCCTGTTCCTCCCGCGCAGATCTGGAGGCGCAGCTGAAGGCGTTCCGGGAGAAAGCGGCCGCGGTTCTCCCCACCAGCGGCTGGACCCCCCCGGAGATCAACCCCGACCCGCCTCCCGAGCGGGCCGACGTCGTGATCGTGGGCGGCGGGGTGGTGGGCTGGTCCGTGGCCTACTGGCTGAAGAGGAAGCAGAAGTTCCCGGAGAGGTTTGAAGTGGTCGTGGTGGAGAAAGACCCTACGGTGGGTGCCGGCCGACGGGCTGGGGAGAAGTGGAAGAGAAATGGCCTTAATCTATATATTAATAATCCTGCTTCCTATACATTGCTGCAGTGTTCGCCTTAGGGTGGGCGAGTCGTACTTGCATGCACAGGTAATGTTATACCTTATATCCAACGTGTCGTCTGTGTACAGTACAGACCCCTGCATCGGAGGGGCTGATAATCTGGTGAGTGGGAACACAGCCGCTGCCGAATGGTTACAGAGGCACTTTTAATTAGCATGGCCGCCATTCCTCCCCCAGGGGGCGCCCCACTACTCCTGTCATTAGTTCCGGGATTGTTGCCGTGTTCCCCAGGTCTGGCCTGTTGTCTACTGTTATTTAAAGCCTAGCTCCAGTCCTCGGGGCTCAACATTAGGGTACGGGTGTCATGAAGGCCGCCTAGCACCAGGAAACCCTACGTCCGTCTCCTGAGGGCATAGGCCTCATCCCCGACACCTCCCGGGGTCTGAGCCTGGGGTCTGGAGGATCTCCCCCCGTTATCCCAGGATCTCCACGTTTTGCGGTGTGTTTTCCCCCTACCAGGGGATTTTAACCCTACTCACATCAGAGGATGGATTCATTGTTAATGGACTTTTGGACTGTGCCCTGACCTGCCTTTGGACCTGCTCGGATTTGGATGCCATTCTTTGTCTCCCCAGCTCACTGTCTCACGGACTGTCACTATTCTTTTGTGCACCATTACCCAGTTTTCCCATACCGCGCCTCCTGTTTCCTCCAGCTCTTACCCAATCACATAGGCTCCACTACAAAACCCGACACGGACTGCAGACGACGTCCGTAACGCTGAAGGGGTTTTTTCCATGGATCTCAAGCTCAAAGAAGTGCTGTAATCGTGATCTCCTGAACCCAATGTGTGGAAATAACAGCCTGAAAAGGTTTTGCAGAGGAAGGAGCAAGGCACAGCTCTAGCAGTGTACCTTATGACAGGGTTATCTAATAAATAACTCAAAACTGTACTATATTATATTAGGGTCCTGTTTCAGTTAGGAATCTGAATTTTTGTTTCTGTTTGGTATTACAAAACTGATTGAAAAAGGAATTCCTTCATTTGAAAACTGTATTGGCACTGTCCAGACCACAAAATACTACTATTTCGGCTTGTAATTTTTTTTATTTTGGAGTCATTTCCCTCCTTTCCCATTTCCGTTGCAGTATTCCCAAGCTTCCACTGTGCTCTCGGCTGGAGGGATCCGACAGCAGTTCTCCATGCTTGAAAACATCCGCCTCTCTCTGGACTCTTCCATGTTCTTGAAGAACATCAATGTAAGAGCATGGAAGGTGTTAGCAAGCAGACCAAGGCTATAAGGAGTTCATATGCCTTTTCTTCCTAGCATGTTACTCGGATTAATTGCCAGGTACATTCGTTGAGCATGGGGAATTGGGGTAACCAGCTGTTCCTCGATAAAGTGTTGGGACAGGAATTGACAATCAAGGAAAAGGCCCACATTTCGTATAGCTTATAGCACAAGGCTGGCTGGTCCTTGTCCCGGAGAGCTGGGAGAAATGATTTAATTGCTTTCGTAAAGTTGATAATGAGCTGATGAGACAGAATTAATATCTGTAGACATGCCAGCTCTCCTGGATCAGGGTTTACTGTCCCTGCTATAGCAAGTTGCCAGTAGTGTCTCTTAACTGTCTCCAAAACTTGAGCACATTGCTATTGCAAGTGGTACTGGCAGACCAGTAGGTGGCTCCACTTCCTCCAATCCAATATTCCAGTATAGTGAAGCAGAGTACCTTGCTGTAGGAGGTATAGGAGCTTCTATTAACAGGCAGACTGCTTAAAAAGAATTAAAATACAGCAGAATACAAAGGAAATCTTAGTTTGTGATTTGTGCTATCACTGCACTGTGTCAAAATTGAGCATTTTTATTTTAGGAAGCTTCCCTTTATGCTTTGGTTGAATGTGTTATGGGGGTAAAACGTTTGTGCTCTGTAACATTTTGATAACCAAGGTAATTTCCTTTCACTCTCCAGGAGCATCTTCATGTGTTGAATGAAGATCCAATTGACCTGCAGTTCAATCACTCGGGGTATCTGTTCCTAGCAAGCGAGAAAGGAGCTGAAGTGATGGAGGAGAACCATCTTCTCCAGAGGTGATTTGAAGAGTGGCTTCTTAACCTCCCAGATGCTGAAACATCTGTCTGCCTTGGCTTCCGTGCGGAAAGAGTGCTTTCATATGTGTATTGGCCCAATGTTTTGTGTCAGAGTGCACTATTCTTGAATATGTTTTATTTTTACACCTAAGTTAAAAAAAGTTGGCATCCAACCGTTCAGTTGAATCTCAGGTGCTCATGTCTACAAAGTCCTGTAAAGTTGTAACAAAAATCAATGTTCTTACCAACTAAATGTTCAGTTTGGTTTTACCTTTACTGAAAGTGCTAAAATGATTGAAGTGATTTGCCTTAGTGCTGCAGGTGGCATTCTGTGGGAGTCCTTTGTCAGTACACTGGTTTAAAAAAGAGTCCAGTGAAAGTGGTCGGAAAATCACTCTCCTCCGAAGCAGCCGGAGAAATTCCTCTTGCACTGCAGGGACGATTTCCATCGCGACGGGACTATAATGAGGTTTTCGGTCTGAAGCCAGGATGGCCGGTATGAAACGATGTGGCTGTTTGCCTTTTAGGAACGTCGGAGCCAAAGTTGCTCTGTTCTCACCAACGCAGCTGAAGGAGAAATTTCCGTGGATCAACACGGATGGTGTGGCCTTGGCTTCATACGGTAATTCAGAGTTCAGTTTTGCCCTTCTCAGAAGTTGCCGCGCACTGTCCTAAAGACCATGGAAGT